TGTCTGACTCTCCGTGCAATACAGGTCACCGTGGTCGAACGAATACGACCCGCCCATCGACGACGGCGCGGTGCCGTCCGTGAAGATGCGCAAGCTCGAGATCCAGGCGAACGAGGCGTTTGACACGTACCGCGAGATGTACTACGAGGGCGGCGTCTCGTCCGTCTTCCTCTGGGACCCGGAGGACCCGAGCGGCGGTAGCAACTTCGCCGGCGTCGTCGTGCTCAAGAAAAGTACGCCTAGCCCTCTCTGCAGCAGCCCATCCTCCCGCACAGACGCTGACGCTGACGCGGGAACCTGCAGCGATGTCGCCAGCGACCGCATATGAGCCGTCTGGGTCGTGGGACTCAATCCATGTCTTTGAGACCGTCGAGCGTGGGCGCCAGGCGCACTACAAACTGACGTCGACAGTCATGCTGCAGCTCATCACTCGGCGCGGCTCGGAGGTGGACAGCAAGGGGCCCGCGGACAAGAAGGGGCCCGAGGGGTGGAAGCGCGATGGTGAGGTCAGCTTGAGCGGCAGTATGACACGACAGGTGCGTGAGGCCTGTTTATGCGCTTTGAGCATTTGCCGCGCGATAATGACGCATCTATCGTCGTCGCGACAGAGCGAGCAGGACTGGCCGCTACAAGACAGCGCGTCGCACATCACAAACATCGGCAAGATGATTGAAGAGATGGAGATTAAGATGCGCAATCTCCTCCAAGAGGTACGATGCCTCCCGCATCTTGTTTGTCTACTACTACACTGATATCTGATGCGACAGGTGTATTTCGGCAAAACACGAGATATCGTGTATGACCTGCGTAGCGTGGATGACCTTGAGAAAGCACGGCGACAAAAGGAACTCCAGAAAGAACTGGTTGGGTTCATCAAGCGATGATTCAGGAAAACAAATACCTTGATCTGTCAATTGTCGCGATGTCACAGATGTATAGTAGCGAGCAAAAGTCCCAAATATAGTCAATGTATGTACATCAGCTGTGCGGGTTTTTACAGCGGGATAGAAAGAATTCCCAATGGCCGCGAATGTCCGTTGCAGTTGTGCGGCGCTGGCAATGAGCAATATGTGATTCCTGATAACCGTCGAATCCGTCGAGTGCGCTAGCATACATTTGGGGACCAGCTGTCCAACGGTGATGCTACAGAATGCTTCTGAGGTCTTCTCCCGCGCATAGAACCGTCTCATGAAATGGAGTCCACACCTCATTGTCGTCCAACTAATTCGGCGTCCGCAATCGGGTTGGAATGGATTGTGACCTAATAACGAAATACGGAGTTACTGCGGCAAGGTGGATCGAAATTGAGACCAGCGTACATTCGTCAACTTTATCTCGTTTAACGGCCTGTTTTTGTTATTGACCGGGACACGTTCGATAGAATCCAGTGTTGTATCAGCGCCATCGATCACCTTGCCGAAAATGCTATACTTTCCGTCTAAGTGCGCCTGCTTTGCGTAAGTGACGAAAAACTGCGACTTGTTGGTGTCGGGACCAGAATTAGCCATTGCGACCACGCCCCGAGCATTGAACTACGAGACAAAAGAATCGGATCAGAAAGCAAAGGCAATGGAGCAGAAAGAGGTGCACCTTTATCGTTGATCTTACTTCGTCGGAGAACGGGGCGCCCCATATACTTTGTCCTCCCTTGCCCGACCCGCTTGGGTCGCCCGTCTGCACCATGAAGCCTCTAATATTGCGGTGGAAAATACATCCGTCATAATACCCAGATGCACATAGCGCAAGAAAGTTCTGGGTCGATGGATCAGTTCGTGTGGGCAGTGATGGTACATATGGCGTACTTCGGCTGCCTTGGGTGCCGCCTCGCAGAATATTTCTATCTATCAAAGGATCAGACAAATGATTAATGTAATGAGAGTGCGCGGCCGCACCTTGAGATCACCGTGGGTTGTGTGGAGTGTAACAGACTGGCAAAATGTCAGCGCACGGAGGAGGTGATGGGGCGGAAGACAGTACCATTTTGGACGATTGTTAGACGTGTAACGGTCAAGTGTGAGAAGTGACAGAAGCATAGGGGTCACACACCCGGTGGGAGTTAAGAGTCTACTACTGTATCTTTACGACCATCACTTTCCTTCCGCACTCACAATGCGCTCCCCCTCCTTGTACAGCCAGGATGACCCCATTACCGCGGCCATGAAACCCCCCGTCTCCGAGACGGAAGCAGAGCGCGTTATTCGTCTAGAGCATGAGGCCGAGGCAAAGCGCATTTCAGAGCAAATCGACGAGGATCTCAGGGAGGAGCGGGAGCGCAACAAGAAGAAGCGCACCGACGTGAAGGTCCGGGCTCGCTCTCTCGTCGCGTTTTAACCCGCATATATTGACTTGCGTACTGGGCTATCACAGCTACTACTCCTCGGCCAGGCCGAAAGCGGGAAGTCGACGCTGCAGAAGCAGTTTCAGCTCATGTATAAGCCCAACTCGATTGACCAGGAGCGTCTGTCCTGGAGGACTGTTATCTACTTCAACGTCGTTCGATCTATCAAGCATATTTTGACTACCTTAGAGGCATGGGATGACGTTGTCGATGACGGCGATGATAACCCGGCCCTGGAAGAGCTCACGTCCAACGGACATGCCATAGCTTCGTCTTCCATGATGGACGTTGACGCCAACGGCGCACAGAGCTCCTCTAATGCGTCTGCCAATCCTAACAATGCCGGTGCCATTCAGATCGCCAACCTCCGGCGCAGACTGTCTCCTTTAGTGGAGATGGACTCGCAGCTTGCGGACCGGCTCAGCGGTGGCATTTCTGTTTCTGGCTCTGGAAAGGGGGGCGTATACGTTCGTAGCGGCTGGCAAGCGCGAACGATCGAAAACGCCATCGGAAAACTCAAGAACAAACGCCCTAATACCAGCTCGGAGAAGGCGCGGGAAAGCGTATCCTCTGAATTGCCTCCTGATCCAATGGTAGAGGAAGTCGCGCGCCTGCTGGAAGCAAAGGAGGACGACATTCACGAACTCTGGGGACACCTAACCGTCAAACATATGATCACCAAACGCCGTCTCAAGTTGGACGAGTGGTCCGAGTTGTACGTTGATGGATCTCTATCTACTCGTGTCTGTTCTGATTGTATCCTTTCAGTTTCCTCAAGCATATCTCTCGCGTGGCATCGACGGACTATGTTCCAACGACCGGTATGTCGCATATCTTCAAATTTACGCGCATATATTCACTGATATACTCGCAGATGACATTTTGCATGCCCGCATCCAGACCATGGGAGTAGCTGAACATATATTTGACGTGACTATCCATGGCAAAGCAGTAACTTGGCATCTCTACGACGTGGGCGGTGCCCGTGGACAACGGCACTCGTGGGTTCCATACTTTGATGACGCTAATGCCATTATTTTCGTGGCTCCCGTGAGCGCCTTCGACCAGGTACCTCCGTCAATTATCTCAAGTAATTGTCCATCTCATTTTTGTTACAGTATCTTGAAGAAGACCCGAGAACAAATCGCATCGATGACTCTCTTCAACTGTTCACACAGATATGCTCTAATGCCCTTTTAAAGAGTGTTCACCTGGTGCTTTTCCTCAGTACGTCTCTTAGTCATACCTCCAAAGGAAACATGTTAATTGTGATTTTGTCTCACGTTCTTCAGACAAAACTGATCTCCTGCGGTCCAAGCTTGACAAGGGGTTAAAAGTTCGGAAATAGTGCGTATGCGTTGATGTCCACGCAACGTGTCCATTCTGAAGATATGCTTAGCATCACGTCCTTCGGCGAACGATCCAATGATTACGAGACCGTTGTGCAGTACTTCCGGGCCCACTTCCTGCAAGTACACCGACGTAACAACGAAAACCGCCGAGTGCTGTACACTCATTTCACCAGCGTCGTGGTATGTATTACTCGCAGTCTCATCCAGGATGGTATTCATCCATTCGCCTTTAGGATACGAAAGCGACCCAGCGCATCATTGGAAACGGTATGATGGCGCTGATTATCATATTCTAAGAGCGTTCACTGATCTGGTTATCTTATTCAGTCCGCGATTCTATATTCAGAGGATACCTCCAGTCGGCGGCGCTTGTATGATCAACATGGCCAAAATATCCCTCTGTCCATCGACACCTATCGATGCTCCTCATGGCCCGGTTGCCACCAATGGGTCCGTACCCCTTGGTCTCGTGTTCCCTTTTCGTGATGAAGTCCCTTGTGCTGTGTTGTTTTCCCCACACGTATTTATGCTCTCGGCCCCTGCCCCGTCCTACTATCTCATCACTCGCAGCACCTTTCTTGATCGTGTATCTTTGCCACTCACCTTGCCCACCGACTCTGTACACACCTACATGACCAGCCCATGCACGTTTTCCGACTCTCCTGCATCATGGGCATGACCCGCATCTGTATGTACTAGCTGCCGACGCTCACTGCTCGCCATTCTGAATTGTTCCCCGCCTTACTTATTATTATTCGTCACCAAGACTACTTGTTAATGATGTCTCTTCCCCCTTTTCCGTGTACTCCGTGGCTGTCTAGTGGCAGCCAAGATCAGCTTATACCTCCCTTCCCAGAATAAAATGATTTCATAGGCACGGAAGTTGTGTGTATTGGAAAGCCAGTTCATGTAAGCTATCTACTTGGCGGAACATAGTCAACCTGATCGTCCTCATCACTCCCATCATCATGTGCGCAGGACAGCGTGAACATGGCATAAAAATATTCTGAAGATGCACAGGGGGCACAGCTTTTTGGGGAGTGAATCAGCGTTATTCTGGATTCTGCACCCGCTATCAAAGTTCCTGTGAAGCAAATTCATTGTTTTCTAACTTCATCAATACGTATCATTAGGTCTGCATTAACGCCAAAAGTTAGTTTTGCCTTCACAAGCTGCAAAGATTTGTAAATACCTATACCTCTAAGCCTTAAATTTCAGTAGGAATTAGATTCGCTGTCAGGCCACAACGACCAAGGTCTATCTAGATCAGGACGTGTGGTTGATATATGTCATAAAGGGAGCAAAAAGAATGCCACGTACCCGGATTGAACGAGTGACCTTCTCATTACAAGTGAGACGCGCTACCACTACGCCAACGCGGCTTATCAATCCACTTATTATGTTATTTAGAGCCCGTTAACAGTTTTAACCTCAGCCCAAAATTTGGTCAAACCCTACTAGTAGTAGTTCTTTAGCAACGGGAAAGTGTAATGTCGGTACTTAATGTAAAATTTGGTATGCATAAAGATCATAATACATGTATAGTTTCAATGAGCATAGCTTATATAAAAAGAGCTAGATTTGCTCTAGACGAGGCCATCAACATGTTGTAGTACTTACCAAAGCATATGCCTTGACGCCAGCGAGATAACAAAAGAAAATTAGCAGCTTTTTATTTGAGTGGTGTAATTCCCAGGTCCTATCAAGTAAGCGCATAAGAAAATTTATCTGTTCCGGATTGGAGATGGATCTGCTCAGACTGCTCACCTTATCAATCAACTTCTTAGCCACGGGATGGAACTGATCCTTCGCTTTATTCCACTGGCTGATGGCCAAATCTTTGTTGATTGCGGCTACAGCCTTAAACATTGGCCGGCAGAACTTCATGCGGCCTTTGATGATCCCTGATCCGTCGTCACCGATAACCCACTTTGTAACTGTGAGCGCAAAATCATTGGCCGCGGACGACGTGGTATCGCTGAGCGCGATTTGGTAGTATCGGAGGCGGACTTCGGCGTTGTGCGTGTCCGCGAGCTTGTATATGCTCCCTAGCAAGTGGATGAGACTGGGGGGCAGTGGGGGGTATGACTGCAGCTTTTCGAGGAATACGACTAGAGGCGCGGGATAGTGAATATGGCGTTGAACAACTTAAACGACACGAGGCGTACTTATTTGATTCGAGTCGAAGGAGTCGAGGTCAGACTCCTTGAAGTAGATCTTATTTTCGACTGCGTTGCGGGCGTTATCCCACCTTTGGGCCAAGTCGTAAGCGGCTTGCGCAAGGCTTTCGTCGTACTCCATTTTGACTGGAAGATGTATCCCTTCGCCATGTAACCAGGCATCCCAGTCAACGCTATCCAGAGCGTCGACCTTATCCGGGCCGCCGTGAGCTGTCCAATACGCATAGAGATGATCTTTCCACTGTGCGGTTGTGATACTTTTTCCTTTAAACGTGGTAAAGTAGTCCTTGATGTACGGCAGGAAGGCGTCAATACCCCCCAGAGTGCGCTCTAGGGGAGAATCGAAGAAAATTAGGGGCCAGAATAGCGAGAACAAATGGCGACACACACCAAGGTAAAGAATAAAGTTGGCGCCTTTTTCGTACGGAACTCTGCTATAGGCTCCCTCCGGATCTTCGCCTTCACCGAATGGAATAACAAGGCGCTGATATTTCGGATGTTTGGCGCTCTGCTGCAAAGCATTGTCTAGAGATTTTGCACCGATGACATATGCGAATCCGCGCGCAGCTGGACCATCAGATAGCTGGCGTAACAAGCGCTCCATATACGTTGTCCACCCTTCGTTAAGCCAAAAATGAGAGGGGTTTGCGTGCCTAACGGTTTTTGGACGCTTAGAATTGAAGATCGGGGGCGGCTAGCTTCAAAACATTTACGTGATGCCGTTCCCAAACCATGAATGAGTGAGCTCGTGGACCACAACGTTGACCAGGGTCCTATCTCCCGTGATGAGTGCTGTGGAATAGAATAGAATATAAGTGAGTATCCTATGCTCCCCGTATTTCTTTTACACACTAGGGGTTAAAAACGACAAGCAGGCATTTTCCTATTAATAGATCGGAACTATCAATGCTGTTAACATAATTTTCCAAAATAAACCATACCATTCCTCCATATGGGAACGAGGGCGGGAGCACCAGGAGATCATAGACACCAAACTGATAAGGCGCTACGACTTTCTCTTCTTCCGCTAGATACCTAGGAGCGAATTAAGCAGTGCGCAGGAGCACAGAAACCCTATAGAGAGATGTATTACTGAGTTGTTGCCTCCTTGAATTCCCAATGCGCAGCTTCAACGCTTTCCGGCTCGGCCCAGATACCACTTGTCCAATCCTTTCCATCAGGGACACTGAATGGTCGGTAGCGTACGTTTCCAACTGCAATTGCAATTAGGTAGGACGGGATGGGGACAGGCTATGTCCAAGATATTATACCAGATCATCCGACTGCGAGATGATGGGGATAACAGCTTTACCTGCGTATATTTGTATGCAACGATATCTTTTCCGATCGCCTTTCCATCGTGAGGGGGACCATGCACATCGGGAGAGACACGTCTGGCGGATAATAGAACCGGAAGCGTTGCTGATACACTGGCACTGTATGTCTTCAGAGACGAAGGGTCAGATCTGAATTGCCCAGTGCGTAAGAGACCCACTATTTTATTGGCCGGAGTGTCTAGAACATTTGTGAGAAATCTAGGGATATGTTGAGTAGCGTAGAATAGTTTAAATACCCTGTAAAGGAGCTAATGCGCGTGCATAGATAGGTTGGCATTGACTGAAAAGATAGGGGTGTTGTTTTCCCTGTGTTTGTCTGTTCTCTCCGTTAGAAGTTACTTAGTGTTTCGACCTTTCGAGATGGTTACCAGCTTACTCTTTATCTAGCCACTGCAGCGCACTGTTCTCTGTCGCCGTTTCGTAGGTGATCTCTACGAGAACGGTTGCACCCTGATCCCTGCCTCCGGGTAGCGATACGTGCAGCGCAGATCCCATGATGGGATGCTTCACGTCCAGTTTATACTGTAAATCATGGTATCGAGCATAGGCATCAGTCTGTAAAATAATTCTTTATGCACCTACTTCGGCTGGTTTTCGGTCAACGGAGACTGCACTGATCTGTAGATTGTCTGTATCGAACCTGTGGAGAAGATCGGTTAATGAAGTGTTTCATCTCTAACGGGTGGGGCGCACACAATATCTTTTACTCCGCTACGTTTCACAATCATGCTGTGGGTAGCCGACCCGCTCAGCAGCTTCGCGTCGAAATCCACCACCCAGTCGAAGGCTACATGATCGGTCCGAATGTCGCTGTAATTCGATTGGGTTGCAGTATCCACAGATATGTCCGCCATGATTCCGCGCCGTTTAATACGCGAAGAGGGGAAGTCAAGAGTTGAGCAACCTATGTAGTGGCGAATGTTTGAAATTGCAAAGTGAGTGTGGCAGGAAAGGTCATTTACTCAAGTTACTCACTGGCAAGCGACATCAGATCAAACCGGCTGATGGCCCCGGATCCCGGTCAGCCGACAGTCAACTCGTCGCGACACCAGGCAATCGCATTGGAATCCCGTCTGAATCCCGTCTAGTTTTTCTACTCGCCAAGTTTTGTCGCTTGAACTCTGTGTGTGTAGAAGATTTCGTGAATGCAGAAGGCAAGCAGAAAATCCGGACTCCGAATCGAATGCCCCGGCGGCCCGTTCTTGTCTGGCACGTGACGTTGACCTCCCAATCAACCCCGAATTCCAAAAATGAAACTCGTTTCTCTCCTTGGGTTCTGAAGTATCTAGATTCCTGCATACATCTCACGGAACCAACGTACTCGAAGTCGCGTCACTGAAAGATCGGAGCGAGATATAGGATGTCGGACACAAAACGCAAATCGCAAGCCGGCGATGATAGACGCAAGAAAAAGTATCGATCTGTGAGAGTTCAGCTATATAGTGCCCGTCAAACTCGTTGTAACACGTCGTGCTCAAGGATGGGACACCAATATGGGGGAAGAGGCATGTGGAGGGCCCGGGAGTGTGGGTGAGCTGTGCGTCGACCATATTACCAGCCGAAAGTAAAGCTTGAACTGTCCCAATAGGCGTGAAAGGAAAGGAAAAGCAAGCTGTTGGCGAGGTGTACGAGCTATTCGAATCCGTCAGTTCTACCCAGCTTTAGGTCTTAATCTCACTCTGACGTGATGACAGATAGCGTTGGATATCTGGCCAGTTGATTCTGTTGAAGGCAAGGACACGGATGGAGAAGACGAGGACACTGGCCTGAGTTTAGAAGAACAAGTCGCGAAGGAACTTTCCGATATGAAACGACCGCGTCGCGGAAATCCTCAGCAACGTTTTGGTGAGGAAAATTGCTCTGTGTTGTGCGTACCTTGGCCGTTCGGCGTACTCATCATCTGTTTCCTACTCTTTGGCTTCAGCAAACTGTCAAACAAACACACCATGCGGTATTTTTTTTGTTGAACTTGTATGCTCACAAATTCAACATCAAGTCAGTGATCTTTATATCATGTAAAGCCCCTGTCGATCCGGTGGAGCTGGTAGTGAAGTACATCAAATCCGTAGAAGGCACAGGCGTGTCGCGAACGCGGTGCGTGTATCTGTTAGAGCCAGAATTTTCATAAATAATCATCGAGATCTGTAGGTATATACAACGCCTCGTTCCAGTTTCGGGAACCTGCGTGGCAAATCCATCCGAAATACAACCCTTATGTGACAAGATTTTCAAAGATTTCTTCGAGAAACACCCTGATACTAAATTTACTGTAATCCCGGCTTTACCATCTCTATCTCTTCGCACAAAAAACTAATTCTATCTTTACAGTATAAGATAGAATTGCGCGTGCGCAACCACAACACCATTCCTCGCCCAATGTTAATACAGACCATCGCTCAGAGCGTGCCCGATGGGCACACGGTCGATCTGAGCAATCCCAAAATCTTCATACTGGTCGAAGTCTTCAAGGTTTTCCAATTTCTCTCTCGAAAATAAGTTCTATCTAAAAAAAATGTGGGCTCACGCAGAGTATCTGTGGTATCTCTATCGTGGAGGATTATTATCGACTACAGAAATTCAACGTTGCTGAAATCGTGAGCCGGAAAAATCGAACAGATGGCCCAGAAGCAGGGCGGTTGTCATCATCTGCTACTGCCAAGGAAAGCCAACCAGCTAAAAGTGATGAAACAAAGGAAATCGCAGAAGAAATCAAAACAGAAGGCAGCGACGATGGTTCCAAGCCAGAAAGCGCCGAGCATCATACCAAAGCCGAGAGTCCCGGGGAACAGGTCAGCGGGAAAGCTAACGGTGCAACCATTTTGACTGATCGTCACTTCCTGCTAGCGCTACCAGCTCTTCCGGACG